TCATACAACTCTTATCACAATCCATACATTCATCCATTATGTCAAGCACATTTGTACATTTGTTGCCATCATCATTCTCAAAATATTTGCTTTCTACTTGAGCCCTTGGTATCAGCTCCTCATTTTTCCCCTCCCTCCCCGCCATCCCCTCCCTCATGGGCCCTAGATCATTTATGAATTATTATTATTTTGTTATGTCTTACACTGTGCAACATCTCCCTTCGCCCACTTTTCTGAGGTGGGGTTATATGTAGATTCTTGTAATCGGTTCCCCCTCTCTATCCCACCTTCCCTTCCCAGTATCGTCACTCTCACCACTGGTCCTGAAGGGTTCATCTCTCCTGAATTCCCTGTTACCAGTTCCTATCTTTGCCAGTGCATATCCTCTGTTCTAGCCAGATTTGAGATAGAAGGTAGAATTGGGATCATGATAGTGAGGGGGAGGAAGCATTTAAGAACTAAAGGAAAGTTATACGAGGATAGTTTATTTTCTGCCATGCTTTTAGACCTGCCTTTCTCTAGCCCTCGGCCTCTTGGATTGGCCGCTGCCCTACGTGGTAACGTTACAAGGCACTTTGGGGGCTGCCAACAAATGCCCAAAGGGTATGCCACTCCACTAAAAGACTTAACCCGAGGGCACTCAGCTCCAGCTCAGTAGGCCAGCAAACTCATATCCCTTAATTAAGTGCCTAGAGGTGCCCCACTCCACATGTGAGTCTCCTATAGAAAGGGACTCAGTTTGAATTGCTCGGTGAGCTAGGACACTCACCAGTCTGTCTCATGCTCTGGCTCCTAGATCCTCCTATTGTTGCTCCTTTCTCACCCCTCTGGTGTCAAAGCTGTCTCCTGGATCCAGGAGGTTCCATGCAAAGAGATCTCAGAGTCCAAATGTTTATCTCTTTTGCTGGGGTGACACGCTCATTCCCTACCCAGCAGGATGGTGATTCACAGTAACCCTGTTGACAATCACTCACAGCTGAATAGTAATCCCATCAGTATCTTCCCCTACCAGGCTCATCAGGAAAACAGAAGTTGTTTGGTGAGAGTAACCAAGGCTATGGCTAGAAACCAAAACAAAGTTCAATGCCATTGTAGGGACCCTATAGGGGTGAGTAAAACTGGCCCTGTGGATTTTGAAGACTTTGAATCTTTTTTTAAAAATCATTTTATTAGGGGCTCATACAACTCTTATCACAATCCATATATACATAAATTGTGTAAAGCACATTTGTACATTCATTGCCCTTATCATTCTCAAAACATTTGCTCTCCACTTAAGCCCCTGGCATCAACTCCTCATTTCCCCCCCTCCCTCATGAATCCTTGATAATTTATAAATTATTATTTTGTCATATCTTACACTGTCTGACGTCTGACTTTGAATCTTTACAGGAGTAGAACGCCTCATCTTTCTCCCACGGAGCAGCTAGTGGTTTTGAACTACTGATCATGTGCTTAGTAGTCCAAGGCATAACCCACTATGCCACCAGCCGTGTTAAATAATCCACTGCATTCCCATTGTGGAATCTTAAGATTTGAAATGGTATTCAGGCATCATCAAATCCCTCTTCAGTTTATTCAGCAAAGCATTCTTGCTGCTAAATTGGAGAAGTAGGCTAAGAGGCAGGCCCTTCCCTGAAGGACCTTGAGACTAAGTGGGAACATAGACACAAAGGTCAGTAACATAAATGGGTAAGGCAGCCGTCTTGCATCAATTTTCTGGGTCTAGTCATGTCAACCCGGTCGAATAGCCTCAAGTAGCTATTCCTCATGTGTAAAATAGTACACTTCTCATAGGGGTGTTGTTATAATTAAATTAGGTTATTTGCTAACAATGAGACTATATACAGGTTTTACATTTAAAATAACCTAAGAGGGCTGCGGCTTCCTGTGGTGCAAACTATTCCTGTGGGCTCGACTACTAACCCAAAGGCTGGTGGTTCATACTCCCCACGAGGTACCTTAATAGAAGTCCTG